GCCAATGAAAAACAGAACATCTCACGTCTTCCTACTTTCTGTCAGACCAGAGACCTAGAAGATTCAAGCCTATCATAGAAAGACAAAATGGTTTTGGTTGGAAGAGACCTTAAAGATCACCTAGTTCCAACTCTCCTGCATTCAGCAGGGACAGCTTACACTATATCAGGTGGCTCAAAGCCCCATCCAGTCTAGCCTTGAACACTTCCAGGAAGGGGACATCCACAACCTCTCTGGAAAACCTGTTCCAGTGTCTCACTACCCTCATAGTAAAGAATTACTTTCTAGTATCTAATCTAAATCTACTCTCTCTCAGTTTGAAACCATTATCCCTTGTCCTATCATTACTCCCTGATAAAGCGTCCTTCCTCTTCTTTCCTGGAGCCCCCTTAAAGTACTGGAAGGCCACTATAAGGTCTCCTCAGATCCTTCTCTTCTTCAGGCTGAACAAACCCAACTCCCTCAGCCTGTCCTTACGGGGCAGGTGCTACAGTCCCCTGATCATCTTCATAGCCTCCTCCAGATTCGCTCCAACAGATCCACGTCCTTCCTGTATTGGGCCCCCAGAGCTCAGCCCAGTACTGCAGGTGGGGTCTGACCAGAGCAGACCTTCCTCAGCCCGCTGACCACACTTCTCTTGATGCAGCACTATCCTAGGACTATAGTTCATTTGTCTCTATGTGCATTTACGAAGCTTTTGATCTGCCTCTGTTGAAACTAATGGAGTAAAAAGCACAAGAAAGCATCACACCAACCCTAAATGTCTTTAAATAAGGCTCCTAAAATAAAGTCAGTAATTTCAGATATTAATTTTCTACCTACTTGCCTGCAGGTAGAAGTTCTGGTTTTAGTATTTTCACAACACCTGCCAGGATAAGGTCCTGGAGAACTGAGATTAGTAGTGAAATTACCAGCATTGTACTATTAAAATATTAAAATCAACAACTCGTGCTGCAAGTCAAAGTCACTGCCAAAATAGGCAAGTCAGCATTCATCTGAGGCTGTGCCAGGGAAGGCTGAGTGAAACAAGAAATTGCAGCAAGTCTTTTAATAAGTGGAACTTTGAATTTATAGTGTACCAAGGCCTGACAGCTTCAGAATGGACATACTCTACTGTGAGCTACATCAACTTTCCTATGAAAATTTAAAACAATACTCTGAACTTCAGTGGTCAAAAACTTCATAGTGTATCCTGGAATGCTAAAAGACAGCTGGCTAAAAACAAATAGGCTTTTGTGAAAACCTGCAATTCTGAAAAAGCTAACGAACATATTGCTTATATCACTCTTATTTACTGAAGGCCCAAGTCTGAAAGCTAACACTTGGTGGGGTAGATCATCTCCTGACACAAGCCAGTATGGTGCCAGTAATATGCCAGTGGATTAATTCCAATTTATATCAGCTAATAATCTGGTTATACTGTCATAACAGAAGCTGGGGGCATTTTGTTCTTTTCCACATCAGGCTCTGCTATATATTGATTTGCATGGAACAGAACGAATGTATGCATGTCTTCACTTCAATTTGTTCTGCACTGAGAGGTTATTTCACAGATGTGATCTGAGCATCCTCAATGTTGTAAACCACTATGGTACATTTCAGTTATGTTTTTTTTATTTCCCTGCTTCTTAAAGTGTGCTGAGACATCACGTACAAAGGCAGTAAAACAAGTTATGTGACCACTAGATTAATCAGGAAATAAACTGTTCTGTGCTCCTCATGACATTCTGTAATTATCCAGCTGCATAAATGTGCTGGGGTTTTTTTATTGCTAGTAACTGAAATAAGACTCAAGTACTGCTTGTCCACAGACCATAAAAAAACCTGAGTACAATGTCACACTAAAAACACACAGTAGACAGATGCAGGACATATAAATTGGCTGTTTCATTTGGATAAATGGTGACCCGATTTCACCCTCTTCCTGCCTAGCCAGCAATCAAGTATATATATATATATATATTTCCTAATTGAGAAATTAATCTTATTTTATGTGTTCTGAAAAGCGTGATATATTTGAGTACTTGTAAGCGTTAATATTTGTCCATTAAACTGTTCCCATGCCATGTCTATCCTCCTTTCTATTTATACTGGCATTGATCAGCTTGTTCATTTCCAGTTTAAATGATTCAATTCTGATTTGATTGCCATGTAATTTAAATGCAAATAATTACTGTAAGGATGACATTTAGAAAAACAACTCTGCTAAGCAGGGAGGTCTTTATTAGGCAAAGGAGTTTGCCAGTAATTTCTGACTACGAGATGTAGGAATCTACTATTTCAGTTCTTTTAAAATATGCTCACTCTGATTTTCCTAATTCCCCTGAATTAAAACTCTTCTATACCATCACCAAGTTTTGCACCAGGGTCAGGCCATTGATTGAAAGAAACAGAGAAGAGGAAGATTTTTAATCTGGCTTTAGTTCACAAGGTTGTACTCTAGATAACTGTAGTAAAATGACCCCCTTGTGAAATTATGTTTGTATTTCCTACCGTACCCCAGTTCTGAGCCACACTCTGATTAACACTGAAAAGTGTTTCACACAATGAAAAAAAGCAGTAAATAGATGAAAAACCCCTCTTGCTTTGCAGTAATCCAAATCATCTTAATTTTTCCCTTTTTCACCCATTTTTTAGGGTTAGACTGTCGCTTTATCAGCTATGCTATGTATGAGAAGTCTGGAGATACTGGATTGCCTGAAGATAAGAGTTGCAATTGGCCTACAACTTCACCATCTTTTTCTAAGTGTCTCTAACAAGGTATTTTTCATATGCTAGCTGTGCTAGTGAATCCAGAGAGATTTTGGGGAGAAGCACCAATGGGGAGAACAAATCCTGACTCTGCCCACTTCCTGGCATAGCAGCATCTTCAATTTGGGCTCATAATTTCACATTCAACTCCTCATTCACCACTGTCAGTAGACTTTAATGGCATCATTTGAGATTTAGTCTTCAACAGCGAGAGCTGTATCAACACCGGGGTAACACATGGAAGAAAAAGGATTCTATGTTATTTCTTTTCTTACAGCACAGAAACCTTGTTCTTTCACTTCAGTGACCCAGTGTGTGGTAGGATGCCTCCATTAAAACTTCATTGCTCCTGTTAAACTGAAGAACACCCCAGGATCTTGATTTTTAGCAGGGAATCTCACAAAATGCATTCACTATATTTCAATTTTGTCTGAAGGTTAGTTATGGAAAACGTCAAATGCTTAGCAAGTATCAAGAGACAACAGCCTTCTGGAAGTCACTGTTTATGTTTAGAAGTGGCCAGTCAAAGCACATCTGAATGGACCATTGTGCTATTTGCCTTGTTGCCTTCTCTTGGGATCCTGAACTTCAACACCTCACAGCCAGCGAAGTCAAGGCTGCCTCCAAACTTCATATTCTTAACCATTCTTCCTTGTTTTTAAGTGTCAGGTCCAATAGAGCATCTTCCCTCACTGGTTTCACAACTCCAGTGCCCTCCCTTTGTCGGATTCATGTTCACAGAACAAGAGGGCAGAAGAATCAAAGATTTATTTGCTCTAAGGAGATCCCAAGTTTGTCTCCTATACAGAAATACAGGCTCCTTGGCAAAAACTAGGCTGATCTCAGAGAAAGATTTTCCTCACATCTAACACAACTGTTTTGCTGGGTTGTAATTTTATTTATTTATTTATTGCCTCCTGGCAATCACTGAGGCAACAGAATTGCCAGTTGAAGCTGTCAAGGTCTTGTAGTCCCCCACTATGGTTCCAAGTGAATGCAGAAACCGACCCTGTTAAGTTCCTCTACCTTCAGAGCCTATAGAGTGAAAATTATCAATATACTTGCTGAGGTTTTAGACTAATGACAAGTCGATCTTGCTTTGAAAACTTGTTCAGAGGTACTAATAAGAATGTTCAATAAAGTTGTAATGCCTGGCTTTCGTATTGTTTTAACGGCTCTAAGAATCAGAAGAAATACCTCATTTGTTTTATTAAAAAATAACATTCACTGTGATTGTTGTAACACTGAATGACTTGCAGTTCACAAAATTTACTTACTGAGCCAAGGGTACGAGACAGAGAAATTGTTCTATATAGAGAACAGGCTTAGGTTGGGGAATTCAGCAAGGACTCCCTCAGGGGCCTCAGACCTGAAAGATTTTTCCTAGAACAAGAAACCTCCCAGTTGACTCACATGTAAGTTCAACCACCATAGTCTCAACAGTATAGTTCATTCAAAAATATACATAACCAGATTGTCTTGTTGATGGTGGTATAAACTGATACAATTCAATTAAGTTCAGCTGAATACCAACTTTCACCAGATAGAGATGTAGAGGATCATGAGGTGGAAGGTAGGGGGACACTACAACAAATCTAGTCCCTAAAACTTTTCACCAAAATCTGGTCAGATTTTTCTGGTACTTTCTTTCACGCTTGCTTGCATCTTTGTTTTATTTCTAACAGCAATTATAATCCTTCATTGACTGCAGGGACACCTCGTGGTGAGGACAGGTGAAAACAGCAGGCTGCCATTCAATTCATTAAACCAAGCAGCAAAAGACTGACAGATGTTTCTGCTCCTTGGGATAATCATATTTTCACAGGCACAGTCCCACTCTGCTTCTGGGGCATACATTAACACATCCAGAACAGAAAACACTGACACAGCAAATTCAGGAATAAAGGAGCGAGTCGCCCAGCAGATCTGAACTATCTACCAGTCTACTTATTAACTTTCATCTTCCAAGGGTTACAAAAGGGTCTGATTCAACTCAATACTCAGTTGAAGAAGCAGCCTGCAGAATCACTGTCAGGTTGTTTCACCCACCTCCGTTTAACGTTCCAGTAAAACGCATTTCAGTGACTCACTGCAAAATTTCTTGCTGGAGTTTTCATTTTTTAAAAAGACATGCGCATGTGCATGATTTTTACAAGGGATTCCCTTTCTCCTCACTGCAATTACACTCGTGGCATTGTCACTGCAGCACCTCACCCATTATATAATAAGAATTGCATCAACTTGCTTACCCAGTGCAGTGACCCAATGCAGACCTTGGCAGCCAGAAGAGGAATGGTGGGATCTGTAGGCCGCAGTTTAGCACACTCTCGGAGCACTGACACTGCATGTGCTGACTGGAGGAGGAGGGGGAGAGAGAAGGAAATAAAAAAGGCTGATTAGACAATGCTGTTACAGAGTCCAAGCAAGGCATTTTAATGAAATGTACAAAGAAGTGTTATGAAGAATCACGTCAGCAACAAGTTAGCAACTTCATGCCCACCTCCACACGCACACACGTGTGCACACATGCACACGCAAACACATGCTCTTCCCACGCTGAGAGGAAACACGCCAGAAAACTAGCCCTGGCTGTGCACTTCACAAGAAACAGTTTTCCTCGGCTGTTAACACACTGGTTATTTTAACTCTGCTCTCTCAATCCAAAAGAATTCTGCTATGGTTTTCTTTGCACACAACCATCTTCCGCTAAGCCAGAAAAGATCATGAAGAGTTTATCCTCCAGTATGTTAATATTTTAGGTCAACTCAGAGAGAAGTTTGTGCAACTACAGTAATTTGCTCCATAGATTGTCTTCTATCTCCTCCAGTTTCAGTACACACAAGAATCCCATCAAACAAAGGGTGGAGCAAGCAACTACAGAGCAATACACTATTTTGCAGGTGGTCTGAGTAGCATGTGTTAGAAAGCCAGCCCATAAAACGCTTTGTCTTGGTGGTGTTAGGTTACCATTAAAGAACAATGTTTTTTAAAAATAGCAGCTACATAACCCTTTTGATTCAATATGCTCTACAAACATTGCTTTCCACAGAACATCTTCATTGCTGCCACATTTCAGCAGCTTTGAAGAGGAACTATGAAAGCTCTGATCTGAGATGCTGGTGAGACGATCTGGTCAGCTGATGAGGAATGACAGAAGTTGCTCTGCCACAGTTTCCCAGCCTGCCCCATCTGGGCCACAGTTTCATTTCTTCAACTCTCCTCACTACTGAACCCTGATACTCCCAAATTCTCTCATCCTTGCACTCAAAGGGAAATCTTCTTTTCTCAGAATTTCTCCTTATATGCCCCATTCCTCCCAAACAGTCCCAAGACACACACAGGCCTCTCCCAATTAGAGCTCCCTCTCAGAAGCACATAAATAGTCATTGCCTTTCCATATTCCAGGAGAGCACCAACAGAAGGTTGCAGAGTCAAACTAACCACTGCTGCTATCAGGTCTTGGACATGTCCTGACCTTGACCCTCAGGGGCTCTCACAATCAGAGCTCTGACCAGCACAGGCAGATGGGTCTGGTGTCTGCTCCAATCCCCTCCAGCCCCACACTGCAGCTTCAGGTTCTCACCAGCTATCAGCACGTCCACGCTCTCACACCACACGCAAGCGGGCTGTGCCTGCCAAATCTTTGCCCCAATGAACTGAAGGTTGACTTCTTGCTATGGGATTCAAAAGCCTAGACAGGAATTTGCTTGGAAGGGAGTTTTGCAAAGGGAAAAAAAGATGTACAGCAGCCCAGCCCATGTTACGACAAAGATGGGTTTCATAACCAAAGACAAGGTGTCCACAGCAACAGAGAGCAAAAACTGTCCTGCTTGAAAAACTTGGGTACCTGCTGTGTGGTTTGAAGAACAACTGCATGCCCTACATTCTCTAGTTTGCTCCCACCTACCTAAAGCAACAGGTATCATCCACAGAAGTAAGGAAATATTTCCTATTTTACAATTCCAAATGCACAATTTGCCTAAAGCCGGAAGGAAGCTTATCTCAGAGCAAAGTCAAGAATCAATAAACTTTGCTCTGAGAAACAAAGCCTTGGGTAACTGAACCCTGAGGTACAGAAGAAATATATTACTGCAGTCTGCTGCCAGGAGGTGACTAGCACCCCTCAGAATGAACCTCCCCAAAACCTATTGGTTCAAAACAAGTACTGTCTTAGTCTTTAATGGCATCTTACTTCTCTCTCTCTCTCTCTCTCTCTCTCTCTCTCTGAAACCTTCCTGCATTGCAAGCAGCTGGCATTCCCAGTAGCACTGCTGGACATGTTGGAAATGCAAGCATAACTCCATGAGGGTCCTAGCCTGCCACATCATCTTCCTACCCTTCTATCTATATTCCAGCCCCATGGGTGTTTCCAGACAAGAGAAACCCAAAGAGCAGAGCAAGGCAACATGCACCTTGGTGGCTGATATATCTGCAGCTGACCTCCCCCAACCCTTGTCATCTCACCATGCAAAAGCAGAATGAAAAGGCCAAGTACAGAGAAGACCGTACCCCACCCAGTGCCAGTACTTTCAGAAGCCGATATAAACTGAATCTGGTGGTTTTTTCTCAGCTCCTCATCGGCAGCCTGCCTGCAGGTTAAGCAGGAGGCACGTGGGAGCTGGTGACAGCCACCCCGCAGGCCACCACAGCCAGCACTGACCCAAACCAGAGCAATGGGAGACCTGTCCTAATTTGGGCCATAGCTGTTGGACCTTCCAGGGTCCACACAAGTGACACAACCCAGAGCCTTGACAGTTCCTCCTGAACTTCCCTCTCTTCTCCATCTGCAGCTTGTCCACTGAGTAAGGCGAGTTATTTATTGAGATAAGCAAATCTGCAGCCTCCAATAGCTTCAAACCACAGAGCACTTCTCATGTTTGTCCTGAGTCTGGTCTACTCAGAAACTACTGAGTGCTGCAAAACAAAAGGTCCCACCCAATGCCTACACCCAAAAACCTCACATGTGGAGTCACTTTATCACAGATACTCAGGAGGTTCTGAACATGGATTTACGGAGTAAGAGCCACAGTCTCCACACTGCTTCTAAAACTCGTAAAAAGTTAAGATATTTATGAAAATTGCAACTAAACATGTGGAACAGAAGTGGTTTTAGAAACAGGTTGACATTAAGCCTTTCTCCTCAGCTGCACTGTAAAAAATTCAATTGTAAAAATTCAAGATGCCTATATAATTTCACCTTTAAAAACTTTACTCAGCAGAAATTATAGATAGATGACGAAAAAGAAAACAGAACAAAAGAACATCCCACTCCCACAGTGACCTCACTTAGGGGAGACTGTGTGACATATAATATCAGGGTGTTTTAAAGATATTAATTACAGACATTAATAGGCAGGGAATAACTATCATCCACTTAGTATCAAATACAGATGTCATTGGTTTGTAAAAATATTTAATATGAAACAGTGTTTATGTAACACTGAAATAATCTAATAATTAAAATGTACATATTCTTTCACTTAGTGTGGGTGGACCAGGCAGCCAAGCGCATTGTTTGTGAGATTCACTGCAAGACAATAGTAATTAGATTTATTGGTGAGGCATGTTTTGAGAAGAGCAGAGCTTGAACTTCAAGTGAGTACACACTTCCTACTCATAATTCCAAGCTTTGGAGTGGCTCACATCAAAATTCAAGCCAGCATTTAAGTTCTTTCTGTTTGCCTTGCTAATTGCTGGATTACACAGACTGCACTGGAACCAGTTCCCAAGGATTTCAGAAAGCCAGGGATTTGCCTCTGGGTCTCATTTGGCCTCTCACTGAGAAAAAGACAGACATGGTTTAAAGAAATGGCAAGCTTGCCAATAGCTGCCTCATGGGGGTTTCAACTTTGTTTATGGGAGGTCTAATGTAGGACTTCCCAGCATTGGGATCCTCATCAGGTTTAAGGAGATTCATGACCCTCCTCCCTTTGTTATGACCAAAGAACAGGCTCAAATCAGGCTATGGAGTGAAAACATTATTTAAATGGGAATGTTCAGCCGTAAGGAAAAAAAAAATAAAAAAAGGTGAACTGTGTAAAGGACTTAAGAACTTCAATTACCTCAGTTAGGCATCTCCACCCTTCACATACCAACAACTTTGTGGTTTTTTGCGATGGAGACAGGGAAGGACATGGCATGACTGTTCCACATTTAAATCGAGAATCTATAGGAAAGTGGTTTGCTCTGTCAACTTCTTCCTCACCTAATCTACTTGCACACAACATTTTTCTTCTCCAGAGATCACAAATACAGTCCACAATAATTTAAGAAAATTAGGAAAGGCAATTTCTAGGAAGTATCAAGAAATACTGACAAATGACTACTTTTGATATAGACTTCTGAAAGAGCTGTACGTACTGCACCCACTGTTGGGGGGCACTTCTTGATCTGCAGTGAGAAATCACAAGAGAGCGATGGGGAAAGAGAACAGTGGAGATGGCACCTTCCCCTAAGTAATCAGAGCAGCCATATCCTATAAGGGAGTAAAATGTAAAGGAAAAACTACTCAAACACAAAACACAACTTCTGTTCCCCATTTACTAATTATATAATGCAGCATGCAAGCATACGCCTCAAAGATGCTTGCATGTGAGCAGCACAGAATGAAGAATAGTCTACATTTAATTCTCTTTCTTACTGTTTCCAAGAGGCTCAGGAGATCTTGCCAACAACTACGGTAAATAGAGAGATGCTCTCCAAATGCTGGTTTTCCCAGCTCACTCCAACACAATTTTTGTTCTTTCATCTCCTCTTCTTTCCCACCATACCAAAGCAACAAAAGGACGTCAGAGATTTGTTTCATATTTACAAGATAAAGAAACCACAAATGTAAGTAAATGGAAGAAGAATTTCCAGACAGTAAATCAGGCCAGGCAGACTTGACACACCATAAACGGTTGCTCTTCCCTTGCAAAGGTTCCAACAACCTTTCTATGTTTTCTGCTTCTTTGGTGATACTTTCCAGCCAGAGGGAAAAATGCATCTCAAGGCAGTAGTTTTGGTAGACAGCCTCAACCCCAATATACCTGGCAGTTTAGTATACAAATGAATATCCACAACTAGTACTGCTTTAATTCTAGCATCATCCTGTCTGATTTTAAAAACTGTACTATTTCAAGGGAATTGTGGGAAAGGGGGGAAATCTTTCCTCATTATGCAAGAATTAGTATTCCCTGTATGCTGGGATTCACAGACATCTACCTATAAATGACCTTGAACCAATACAGGAAGATGAGAGAGCAAGCCGGCAACTGAGAACTCTGGAATTAGTTCTTCTGGCATTAGCTTTCCACTGAATTTCTAGATTTCTGCTAATCCCTCAGCATGAACAGTATTCCCCCAAGACATTTAC